AAAAACCTAAAGACTCAGCAAAACATACATTTTTAAAATAACTGAAGACATTGAAGAAAATCAAAAATCCTCAACTATTTCATTAGATTTTAATATACTTCTAAGCACCACGAATGTTAAAAAACACTGTAGGGTCTCTGTGATCTAGTGACAGAAGAGTATGTGATAATTTAAGTATCTTCTCCAAAGATCTAATTGTTCCCAATAACATTCAATATTTACATCTATTATAGCACTTACCATATTTTATTGTAATTTTTTTCACAGTCACACCTAACAATCCCAAGACTTCCCAGGTAGCATTAGTTTTAAAGAATCCGTACAATGTAGGAGATGTGGGTTCAATCCCTGGATCAGGAAGGTCCCCTGGAGTAGAAAATGGCAACCAACTCCAGTATTGTTGCCTGGATAGAGCATTCCATGGACAGAACAACCTGGACGGCTACAGTCCATAAGGCAACAGAATCGGACACAACTGAGTGACTGAGCAAGCAGCCACGTCTACAAGCCTGTGTACCTCTTCACAGAGGTTATTTCACATATGTTTTTATTTCCAGTGTTTTTTAAGTATATATCAATAGCAAATATTAAGTAAACTTTTGTTAAAATGGGAGATTATTGCAAAGTGCTATGCATGTAACTATCAACCTAATGTCAACTAACAAGAAGAGAGAAAAGTTTGGCTCAAGTTAATTGCTCACAGAAATGTCTAGAAATATGAAACATGTACATCAATCAGACAGTCAGAATCAGAACTTCCACTAAAAGACCTAAACAGAGCTAGAGTTAATAACTGTGGTGTTGGAGAAGACTCCTGAGAGTCCTTTGGACTGCAAGGAGTTCCAACCAGTCCATCCTAAAGGAGATCAGTCCTGGGTGTTCACTGGAAGGACTGATACTGAAGCTGAAACTCCAATACCTTGGCCACCTCATGTGAAGCATTGACTCATTGGAAAAGACCCTGATGCTGAGAGGGACTGGGGGCAGGAGGAGAAGGGGACGACAGAGGATGAGATGGCTGGATGGTATCACTGACTCGATGGACATGAGTTTGAGTAAACTCCGAGAGTTGGTGATGGACAGGGAGGCCTGGCGTGCTGTGATTCATGGGGTCGCAAAGAGTTGGACACGACTGAGCGACTGAACTGAACAAAACCCTTCACGCTAATGAGGATTTTGCTATCTGGTGACCTTAAAACTCCAACTCCTGGCCATCTTGGCCAAAGTATTTCCACTGTTCAGTCATATGAAAACAACAATAGTCCATGGAGGTCCCTCGGGTGTGTGGATACGCCTTTCCTTGTACCTCTGCCTGGAATTGTGCTGAACAGTCACAGTTCCCCTCACAGACTGAAATACGGTGAGTATGTGTTCTTGTGTGTGTGTGTTGGAAGCTCTTCTGACATAGATTTAACATTACATCATCCCTTGTAACAGTTGTTTTTCTTTAGGAGTAGCCCAGAAATATTAGATTATCTCTAAGTATCTGTGATTATTTTATACATGGTCTGGCATGCTTTCTCAAAGATATAAATTTCTCATAGCCAGACCTGATACCCTGAAGCTGTAGCTGTATTGAAAACAACCTGAGGAGAATTTCACGGGGAAGCAGGCTTCCCATGTAATCCTCTCTAGCTGTCAAATTGCCATTTCACCACTTCAACAAATCTCTTGAAATGATTGGCCTTCATGGACAAGACCCGTTCATAAAGCCAAAGGATGGTTCCCCTTAATTGTGTTGATTTAAAGCTCAATTCAATAAGGCTTTCCGTGCAGGGAGAAGCTTACCTCCTACCGACAGGTGTCCTTGCTAACCCAGTAAAGAGTACTTGTAACATCACTCTTTCGATTGAAATTCTGCTCTTGAAAGAGGTGAGTACGTTTTCCTTAACACTAAACGTGAGACTCAGTAGAATCACTATCATCAAAATATCATTCTTGTGGGCTACTAAGACCTGCCTAGCATTTTGTGAAAAATTCAAAGAAAGATGTCTACCTCAGTTGGATTGTAGTTGGATAATGATGACTTTGCAAGCTAGTGGATTTTTTTTCTTATCATTGCTTTTGAAGGTAAATAAGTACATGAGTGAAATGAAATTAAACTTAGCAAGAAGACTTTAAACAAAGGTAGATGATTTGTGTATCTTAGGCTGTCTTTTCCCTAATGTTCAAAACAAACCTATAAGATTTAAAGCTTTTTAATGTAACATTTGAGTCATTTGATTTTCCTACATGAAGTCACCAACTTTACTTGATTCATTATTAACTGAAGCCAAATAACTACACTTAGAATTCAACTGACCAGCTGAATCCACACTAGTATGCCTGTCCCTAACAGGAAAAATCCAGTCCATCCTAAAGGATATCAGTCCTGAATATTCATTCAAGGAAGGACTGATGTTGAAGCTGAAACTCCAATACTTTGGCCACCTGATGTGAAGAACTGACTCATATGAAAAGACCCTGATGCTGGGAAAGATTGAAGGCGGGAGGAGAAGAGGACGACAGAGGATGAGGTAGTTGGAAAGCATCACTGACTCAATGGACAGAAATTTGAATAAAGTCCGGGGGTTGGTGATAGACAGGGAGGTCTGGCGTGCTATAGTCCATGGGGTGACAAAGAGTCAGACATGACTGAGCGACTGAACCGAACTGAACTGAACATGAAAAAGGAATCACAGCTATTCCCCATCGAAATGAATCATCCAAGAGACAAGCATATATTCAAACATACCAGCATCAGAGAGGGGTATCAAGATATGTTTAAAGGTGTGTACCATTCATCAAATGAGGTATTCACAGACTCCCAATTTACAGATCTCTGGAAAAGGTCTCAAGCAAGATCATTCTGCAAAAGGTTGAAGGTTTGATACATGAAAATGGCCTCAAATTTGTTAACACCTTTTCATCAAGAGATATAATCTATGTCCCCTTCTCTCAACTCTGGATGGGTTGTACAACACCTTAACCAATAAGATACAGCAGAAGTGACACTGAGCCAGTTTCAGGGAGATAGCATCTTCCACTCTTTATCTCTTGGAACACATGGCCTAAGAAGCCAGCTAAGAGTTCAACTCCCCTGAGATCACCTTGCAATAGAAGCTGAAGCTCATGGAGACATTTTGGAGGACGAAAACCATGTGGAGAGAGAGAAGAAACAAGGAGCACCAAAGCTCCCCAGATGCAAATGAAGACTCAATCTTGGAAGTGCATCCTGTATCCCCAGCAGCCCTGGATGACACCAGGTGCGTCAGATCCAAGACACCCAGACAAGTCCTTCCTGAATTCCTGACCTACAAAATCATGAGCAAAGTAAAACCTTTGTTCTAATCCATGAGAGTGGTGATAGATTAGCAGACATGGATCTATTTCATATGAGGATAGGTATGTGATTAAAAACAGAAGAGCTCAAACCACGCCTCTACTAATTTGCACTTCACTTCAACAAAGCTAATAAGCTAAAGTCAGTCTTTTTTTCACATTGACATCAAAATGCAACAGTGTTCATGTGAGATATGCAAAAATATGCTTTGCTCCAAAGTTGACATAGTAATTTGAAACCTGACAGGTTTGAGCAGGTCTCCTGTAAAACTCCCTCTTACCTGTCTATGTATCTTCCCTTAAAATAAAATTGAGGCAACACTGAAATATCTTATACCCCTAGTTAACTACATGTAAAAATGATAAATTACCTTTTACAACTGAAGACAATTATGCCCTTTAATCTGAGTGATTAATTTACACCGTTCTTAGTGGTTTAAATGCAACCACTACCATGAGCCTGATGAACCTGAACAAGACAGAATTATTTGGCCATCTGTATAAGCTTACTATATTTAGAGAAGTATAGCAACCCTCTAGGAAGCTTTAAAGTTTTATTTCATTTTCTCTCAATGATTGTGTACCTCCTCACTGCATATCAAATGATGACACCACTACTTTGGATTACTGAATTTATTTAGAAACCATAGGACATAGGAGGCTCTGCTATGAGATGAGACTCTCTAGAAAAGGTCATATTAAAGTCATCATCTGATGGTAATACTATTTTTAAAAGACTTTTTTATTTTTATGTATTTATTTTTGGCTGCACTGGGTCTTCATTGCTGTATGCAGGCTTTCTCGAATTGCAGCAAGTGGGAGCTACTCTCCAGTTATGGTGCATGGGTTTAATTGCTCTGCAACATGTGAGATCTTCCTGGACCAGGGATCAAACCTATGTCCCCTGCACTGGCAAGTGGATTCTTAACCACTGAACCATCAAAGAAGCTCTGAAAGTACCATTGTTGAAACCTACTGGAAGATTTTAATTGCAACAGTAATTTTTTATCTCATGTAACCTGTTTAAAGTCACAATACCAAAGTCAATTAATGAAAAGCAGACACTAGACTTTTAGACAGAGCCATAGGTTTCTATTGCCCAGCAAACAAAAGACCTAAGCGGCTTTATTTCTATGGAATGTGCTTTCCAAACCCTTTGCAATAAAACAGAGTAATGGAGGGTGATGATAGATGATATTCTACTTTAAATTACCCTTTTTATGGTTAAATCAAAAGACTGCCCTTAAAGGAATCTGTAGCTATGTTTTGAGCTCAACAGCATTTTGTCAGAAAATCAGCCTAGAAGAATCCAAAACCTGAACATGCATTTGAAGACCTTTCTCTGCTCCCATTCATAAACCTTGATACACTCGCCCTCAGCCCAGCCCCAGTCTGGTCAAGGTTTAGTAAAATCACTGGACAGTTTGGCAGTAATGAGTTTTTAAGCAACTGAACCCACTCTTATGTGAGAGTATACACTTACTGTGCCACGCCAAATACCTGCAACCAGTTTTTAACTACAGCAACAGTAACAACTCAAAGATAAAGCAGGCAACTCACTGAGAAGTAACCAAGACTCTTTATTACAATCAATTGTCCATCATGAGCTTGACTTGTGAAGAACTGTGACACAGAGGAGTCAATCAACCAGCTCCCCTTTCTCAGAGAGACGCTCTTACCTCTGGGACGTTTTCTTATATTTCCTCCTGTGGGGAAAGAAGCATAAACACAGATCAGAAAAGAGTTTGCTGCAGGTGGTAGGTGAGAAAAAGCTTCAATGGGGATGGACACAGAGGTGAACGCTGTAGAAAGTTCTCTCTGTGAGGCTGGTGGATGTCAAAGCCCACTTAAAAGTTCTGTGTTACAGAATGCTGTGCTTGAATGCATAGAACCACAGTCTCAGCAGTTACACACAGCATCCCGAGAGGATGTTCCACCCTTTCCCCTATGAGGGCACTGTAGCATCTTGGTTGAGATCAGATTTTAAAGACAGCAAGAACCAGGTTCAAATCTAAGCCCTTCAGCAGGTTCATGGGGTTGTTGAGGAATAAATGGGCAGACGTTTGCAAAGCATGTCTTATACCTGGCATATTAAATGGTCAATAACTGTTAGCTATTTGTACTGTCATTATTGTTACTATTATTCCCATCAGCTTGCAATGAAGTCTCTTTAAAGATTTGCCTTTTAAAATATAAATGTGTAATCATGCGACTAGACCATAATATCAGACATAAGGTCTTCAGAGAAGGAAGGAGTGAGGAAAGGGGCAATGAGAAGGTCTAAAAGCAAAAGTGGTGAGAGCAGCATCAGGAGCTTGCTACTTACTGGCTCAGCTCAGTACCCCAGAAAAGTCCCAGGAAGCACAGTGGCTGGAGGTCTACTCCACCTCTCCTATTTATGTTCCTCATTTAGCCAGGGGCAAATCTTTCGGGCGTGGAGCTTCTCAATCTATCAGAGGGAGGTTATGTCTGCCCTGTCTCTCTTACCTGGGTCATTGTGGCATTCAAGGAGGAAATGATCATAAAAGTTTATTTTCCAATGTATCCCGATGTTTTTCATGTTTGTGTCAACTTTTGTAGATTTCAAAGACCCTCAAAAGAGTTTTAGAAGACTCTTTACTGGGGGATTAGAGGAAAAGAAGTGGTGAGAGAGGAAAATGCACCTCCCAGGAGCATCTCCAGGAAGGGCAATGCTTCCCAGTTTGTCCCTGGTTCCACATCAACATTCCCATTACAGTCACTGCACCAGGAAGCCAAGCCACTGATTTGCTAATAGAGTTGTAAGTTGCACATGCTTTAAAAAAAAAAAAGGCACAGACGTGTCAAATTCAGAATCCCTACAACCTATGACACTTTGTTCAAGTGAAAACATACATGACGATGTGACATGTTAAATGAAGTTAAGTCATGTATGGCACCAAACCCACAGTGTGATCTTGACCTGGTATGTACAAAGAAAATGCACCAGAGTGATAACCATGAGCCCATGGTAGTAGGTTAGTGAATCACTACTTTTATTTTTACTTGCATTAATTTTCTATATTTTCTATTTAAATGAGCATTTCTATTTTAAATGAGCATTAAATGAGGTTGCAATTAGAAAAAATGTATAAAATATTCACATACCTATATACACATAGTCACATACACAGATATACATATCTATAGGATGAACACACAGAAATATTTAGATGTTTGAATTATAGCATATAGGTAGGAAAGAAGGTCCACTAACAGTTGACCTAATGAGTTAGGGCTTGGGGCTTAGAGTAAACTACCTGTGTTCCAATCTTGGCTGCGGCACTCAGCTCTATAGTGTTTATATTTGACCCCTCTGAGCTTCAGTTTCTTCATCTGTAAAGTGGGAATAATCAGAGCACCTCTCTCAAGACCTTACAGTCAGAAATAAAGGAGATCACCCACCTGAATCTCAGCTCCCCAAAGGCAGATTTTTTATATGCCTCTCCACTGTATCCCTGGCGAAGGAAATGGCATCCCACTCCAGTACTCCTGCCTGGAAAATCCCATGGATGGAGGAGCCTGGTAGGCTACAGTCCATGGGGTCGCTAGAAGTCAGACAAAACTGAGTGACTTCACTTTCACTTTTCACTTTCATGCACTGGAGAGGGAAATGGCAACCCACTCCAGTGTTCTTGCCTGGAAAATCCCAGGGACGGGGGAGCCTGGTGGGCTGCCGTCTATGGGGCCGCACAGAGTCGGACATGACTGAAGCAACTTAGCGGCAGCAGCAGCAGCCACTGTATCGCACTGCTTAAAACACTGTTTTGCACTCCCTCCAAAAAGAGGTGATGGATGTGCACTGACCATCCTAGACACTCCCCTCCAGCAGTGACAGTTCACACTCACTCGGCAGTAACAGGGGCAGAGGTTTCATCTACAGGCACAGAGCACAGTGACCTGTGGGTGTGACCCAGGCCCTTGAACCTTGTTAGAACTGCTGTCTAACAAACTGAGCTAAGAAGTGTTTGGCAAGACTGGAAAATAACCCACTGAAAGTGTGCAAGGACCAAAGGTAAGGGGGCAATCAGACCAGATGGATGCCCCTGGTTCCCACCCAGAAATTCAACTAGTTCTATCAACAAAAGGCATCTTCAGAGGCCAGAAGAAGACAACCTTTGGTACTGGCTTCCACAGAACTCTTTCAGCATCTGCCAAGGACCATATACCAGCACCACTGAGAACGCCAAAAGCATCAAAATGAACAAAAATAAGAAAAGCTTCCATTTTCAGCAACTACTAGTAACACACACTTAACATATATCACTGCTGCTGCTGCTGCCAGGCAGCAGGCAAGAACACTGGAGTGGGTTGCCATTTCCTTCTCCAATGCATGAAAGTGAAAAGCGAAAGCAAAGTTGCTCAGTCATGTCCGACTCTTAGCGACCCCATGGACTGCAGCCTACCAGGCTCCTCCGTCTGTGGGATTTTCCAGGCACGAGTACTGGAGTGGGGTGCCACTGCCCTCTCTGACTTATATCACTAATCCTCACAAAAACCCTGCTAAGATCCACTCTCTGAAAGAATCTGAATTCTAAAAAAGGAAATTAAGACATGTTACCAAAAGTGTTACTTTGTTATAACAACCAAGACTGAGATATGGCTCAGGAAGTTTTGTCAAAGAGGTAGTTTTGATGGACTGGGGCAGGGGTTGGGGGGTGGGGAACAGAGTTCCACAAGGAGAAATATGTAGGAACGTGGGGCAAGCAGGTGAGGAGGGTATGCCTGCTGGCCTCAAACCAGCTCAGCTCAGCCAGATTTGAAAGCACATAGTAGGTTCTAAGTCTAAAAAGTACTCAAAACAAAGCTAATCAAGAAAAGTAATAAAATGTATACATTAAAAAAAAAAAGAAAAGAGGACACCGGAGAGAAGGGGGGGTCACCTCTTACATCACCCTGTGGAAAGATGATAGGGCTCTGGAATGTGATAAACCTGGTTCAAAACCCAACTTCTCCCTCTCTAACTGAGACTCAGACAAGCTCAACACTAAAGCAAGCTTTAGCTTCCACATCTCTAAAATGGGAGGAATGAGCTCAGAGAATATAATGTATTGAATTACCGGGCACCATGCATGCCATATAAAGGCCATTCTAAAAGGTTTAAGACCCTCTGTCCCTCATTTTCAGTTTCTTGAGCCTAGGGGTCCTGTCATAGGGCTCACTGCATCTATCCCAAGGGTGTGCACATCAACCAGCACATGTTGGCACGCAACAAATGTTTGCTGGCAAAATAAATAAATCATTTGTAGCTGTCACCCACAACTACCAAAATATGGGTTGTGCCTTTGGTAGAACCAAAAAAGAGAGACCAAAAATCTGATTTTCAGTCCAACTCATCTCCCTGACACTCACTTGCCACCTTCATCAATGCATTCCTGAACTCACACATTCTGAAGTTCTCCCTTCCCATCTTGTCCCATTTAGACAGACAGCTCCCTCATCAAAAGAGACCCAACCCAAACAGTGTCCTCTTACACTGGAGCTGAAAGGTCAGTGCTTAAAACACAAGAGAAAATACAGATCTATGGAAATTGCTCTACTCGAGATCCTACTCACCGATCATCTTGACTCAGCAAGATGGTGAGGCCCAAGACCTCTGCTTTCAGCTGAGATATCACTTCCTCCTAAAAACCTTCTGGGGCCACCCACACTGGATCATCCCTTTTGTGTGTTCCATGGTAACTGAGTTCATCTGTTATGCTGATGGCAAGATCGATGGCTTGTCCAGTATCTGCTAGTGGTTCTCTCTTGCCTAACATGGTGCTTAACAAATGACAAGTGCTCAATACATTGTTGTGTGAATGAGTGGATTTATCAAGACACTAACCAAAATGCTTTCTTTCTACTCATTTTTCTTCTGTTCGGTGATAATTCACTATAAGCAGTGAGGACATCTACCACAGACATGGTTTTCTACACACAGGAGGAATGCAGTGAGAGAAGGCCTGGGAGGTGGACAGTGGTGGGATGCTCACAATCATTGCACACCTCCTCTGTTCCACGTCTGTTACCTAAATTAACTCACTTTGACCTCCAACAGACCTCAGGAGATTAACCTCACTTTATACTTGATGGAAGGGATGCCCAATGGCTCAGCAGGTAAAGAATCTGCCTGCAATGAAGGAGATACAGGAGATGCAGTTTCAATCCCTGGGTCAGGAAGATCCCCTAGAGAAGGAAATGGTAACCGACTCCAGTGTTCATGCCCGGGAAATCCCAGGGACAGAGGAGCCTGGAGGGCTACAGGCCAAAGGGTCGCAAGGAGTCGGACACGACAGAGCGACTAAGCATACACACACACTTGGTGGAAATGAGGCTCAGAGAGTTTAAGTGACTTGACTAAGGATACAGACCCTGAACCAATTGAGACAGAATGCAAACTCTGAAGCCCTCCAAGAAAATTGAGGAAATTAGTCAAAGAAGTCAAAAGATGCCTGGAGGAAACTTAGACACTAGACAAAAACAAACAAAGCCAACAATAGAAATGTACTGGGCTCTTTCCATCCAAATGCAGGAAATGAGCTGGAAAAAAAAAAAAACTAGTTTATTCTTGGCCTTTTGTTTTTAAGAACAGAATTTGCCCCTGAAAGACAAAGGAAATGTTTTAAATGTTTTGTTTTGGTTTCTCAAACTTACTTTAAATTTATAATGTTTTGAAAATTAATACATCAGAAGTCCCAAGATTCAT